TATATATACACGAGAAGATATATATAGCTGCACCCGCTGAGTAAATTATGAGCACGTTTAGTGAATAGACTGCGCTGTGAAAACTAGACACTGCTATTGACTCAATGGGCCCAGTGCGACACGCAGAGGCGTACGCTCATCACAGATCGCCCGTCCTAAAAAAATTTCCCCGAGCGTGTGACGCGTGGTTGCAGAGCGTGGCCAATTGGGCCCAGCCGGGCCCAGCGCCGATACTACGATCTAACATAGCTTCATACTCCGACCTAGATTGCGTCTTTACCCGCGATCTCATTGCCGCCTCAAGCAAGCATTTCCACCTACGGCTCAACACCACGCCCGGCATCAACGCTTGCCACTGTCGCGACTGCGTCATTATTTGCGACAATCAGATCGTGTTGCGTTCGAACAGACGCTTGCACTGTGCGCCTTAAGCACCGCCTACACGCGCGCCTCAAGCTGCGGCGCGCAATCGCAACGCGCCGAGGCTGCGCTGCAAACGAATCATAAAAACTACCGCGCCGCGTTCGTGATACAGTCATGCATTACCATTCTGCCGTGCTGTCAAATAACATCAAGATAATTATTAAGATAACATTACAACTTAAATCAAGAGTTATTTAACATCAAGATATTAACATCCAAGATTATTTTTCTACGGACGACAACTAATGCCGCAAAAGAAACGGGGAGAGGCCGTCGTGGAAGGGGGGAAAAGGCACACGAGCAAAGACCCAAAAGGTGGGCAGTAGTCCGTTCATCTCCATCAGCATCAAGGTGTAGCCCCTGGAATCAGAGGCCTGAGCAGCCCTCAAGGAATCCCTGCCTCATGCACGCTGGCCCCAATGAGAAGTTGACGTAAGACACCGAACGCTGGCGAGTGTACACCGGCCACAAGACCAGTGTCAGCCAGAAAGGCGCAAGAAGATAAGTTATCCAGTTCCTGATCAGAGGAAGAAGGAGCAGAGCAGGTGGATTGGCTGGCAGAAAACACTGTCTTCTACAACCAGAAGCTGAAGCCTACAAGAGACAATGACGGAAGAAGAATTCTCTGTGAGTAGAGAAGGCAGCCGAGATGGGAAAGACTGTAGCCGAGCTCAGACTCTGGTACACAGCCTCCGAACCGCTTTGACGTGCTGAAGAAAGAAGAGAATCTGGCCAAGGAAGAGGTGGAGATGACAGCAGAGGGACGAGTGGGTCCTACAACGCATTTCGCAAGTTCCTCTGAAGTTATACTGGAGTGAGGATGAGTTACACCCGATGCTAGATGCCTTTAATGGTGATTGCCACGTTTCAGTCCTTGTTCAAGTGCTTTTGCCTGTATCGGGCTGTCCTGCTTCTGGATTCTCGCCGGCAATCTGACAAGCAGTGTCGTCGAACATCATTCTCGGAGGATGTCCTCACGAAGTGAAGAAGGATGCTTGACACTCCATGCGGAGCCTCAGCCGTGAGCGATCACTAGTGACCATAGAGAAGTCGTCTTCTACCGAAAGCCACGGACGCATCCCAGCAAGAGTCTTGGTTGTCTTCTATTTCTCTTCCTCGTCTCCTGCACTCATCTGATGATGGCGTTGGCAATCAAGTACGTTCGAGTTCCTTCCTACGAGAAACATGGCATTGAGTAGTGTTAGCCTATCCCATGAGTGGAGCACTGAACTCGGTGGGCTGAAAGCCAGGGTAGCACCCCAAAATTAAAAACGTATGAAAACGTATTGCAGTCTGTGCTGAGAAACAGGCGACAATTTTCAGACGCCGACCTCGAACGCTTGCGATACACCATTCAGTTCGATACTATCATGCTTCGAGTACGTGGGTACTAACGCCCTTCCACGGTCTGCTAATACGCCCCGCACTGGCGTCTGTAGTTTCCGCCACGCGGCGCCGCGAACGTGCACGATTATTTTGAAACATCGTACAAAGTTTGGCCCAAAGTCTAAGATAAAGAGAGAGAGAGAGAGAGAGTAGTAAATTGAGACGGGGACAGGAAAACGGTGATACGGTGTGTATGCGAGCGGGAAACGGGGTAGAATTAGGTCGTGCGAGATGGTGTGCAAGGGGATGGGAGGTGGAAGGCAGGGGGAGGGAGGTCGAAGGCAGGGGGAGGGATATGGGATGTAAGGGTGTGGAAGTGAGAGGCAAGGGGAGTAAAGTGGGAGGCAGGGGGAGGGAGGTGAGAGGCAGGAGGTAGGTAGGTGGGACACAGTGGGGAGGGAGGTGGGATAAAAGGACTCCCCGCCCCCTCTAATTAAACTTGGAGATCCATGCTCATATGTTGAAATATGAATGTCAATGTCAATGTCATTCATTAACTTGTATTTGAATTGTTGTTCTTGTTCTTGTAATTAGCCCATAGAGATTAGGTGAGTGCGAAAGTGTAGCTGATATATTTGTTCGAATTGGCTACGAAAGTCAAACAAGAAGACTTATGTATAAGACGTCTTGCTATGCACAAATGAATTTATCAGCAGAACACCAGACACCAGATGAGCCCTGTCGCACTGCGGCACTTGTTCCTTTTATATGTAACATTATGTTTACATTTGCAATCCAGAGAAGCAGTGTGTTATCAGTTTTTTACACATTTATTTCAGTATAGAAAACCTTGTTTTTTTTGCAAGACACATTGTTTATATGTGTCGTTACATACATATATATATGTACATTATTTTTGCATGTATTGCACGGTGTTTGTTTGTTATCATTGTCCAGCCTGCATCGATGTTTGTTTGTTATCATTGTCCAGCCTGCATCGATGTCTGTGTTGCTTACTCTGGTCTCACGGCTATAAACATCTCTGCATGGGCCGTTGCAAATGACGTGCTTTTTGTTTTTGTGTTCCGTACATCAGTGCCTATTATAGAGACGACTCGTTCCGTGACCGAGAAATGTTCCGCGAGCGAGATCGAGAGAGGGAGGAGCCATACGGGCGCAATCGCAGACCTCCCCCCGCCGAACCTTACCACGATCGGAGAGGAAACGGCAGAGAGGAACCATACAGGTGGGGCAGCAGCAGCCGATATGATACTAGGCTACTAGATACTAGGCTCGGTACTCTGTAAAATCAAGTTATGAGTTATGTAAAGTCCAAGGGTACATACTATTTGTTGTGTAGTGTACCACCAAACATTGTATTAAATCTAAGGCTTGATTTCTTTGAATGCATGTGATGGCTAGTTAGATATGTCATTTTTTCGCTTATTTTCACTTCTGTTGTTACGAGTTTTCATTTTTTTACAACTGTGCCATGCCATTTCGCGCCTGCAGTGCATTTGCTGCACTCGACCTGACAATTGCGGGTTTTCGGCACCCGTTGATACCCCCCTCGTTTTATTTGCGATGTTTAAAGAGACTGAGGCTATTGATTTTGGGATAGCAGGCGAGAGCCGTACCCGGAGAGGGAGCGAGAGAGGGAGCGGGAGCGGGAACCCTACCATGAGCCATACCCGAGGGAGCGACCTACTCCTCCGCCGCCGCCGCCGCCGCCGCCACCGTCGAATCCCATCGAGTGTGAAATCGTTGTCATGTCTAGAACTATCAGGTGAGTGAGTAGCTGTACTAGCAACGAGTCACATCTAGATGTTTAGAACTATCAGGTAGGTAGCAACTACTACTGTACTAGCAACGAGTCACATCTATGTTTTGTGCAGTGGGATTCCAGTCCCATTGAGTGCGAAATTTATGGGGATTTTTAATAAAATAATGCGTTTTTATATGTATTTACGACGATTTACGTATAGAAACTATATGTTATTTTTACTGATTTCTCCGTATCTTTCCTTGAAGTTTTCATCGCCTTTCAATGCCTTTCGGTAGGTTTTCTGCGTGATTATTATTTTGCGCAGGCACTTATTTTGGAAATCCTCCAACATTTTTACTTCTTCCTTAGTTAAGATAGTCCATGTTTCACTGTTATTTAGGAAGGAAGGGAAAACTGTGAATTCGTATAATTTCACTCTTGCTTCTATAGTATGATTTCCATAATTTTGCTCTTCTGCCCATGATAATATTTCCCTCATCATGAACCTACATTTTTCAGTTCGGACTCTTATCATATCGTTATAACCTCCTATGTCATTAATTAAATCCCCTAGGTATGAATATTTGGTGCATTTTTTGATTACTTGGTTGCCTATAAATATATCCTTCTCTATCCTTTCTTTGTTTGGGAATTTTATAACCATTGTATTTGTTTTGTTTATATTAAATTCTAATCTTTTTGATTCAGCTAATCTGGAGATTGACTGAGCGATTTTTGTTACTGTTTTATAATCTCCAATTCCTAGAATATCGTCAATATATAATCATTAATTGTCATCTTCTAAAACTACAGACCATTCGCTGACCGCTGTGGTGATGTGCGCCGGGCCTTGAATTTGGCGCACGTCTCCACTGCGGACAGCACTTTATACTTGAACATCCTCGCTGTCGCGTGCGCATATCTCGCGGAACTGCGCGTCTCATCCGCGCGCAGCGCTTAGGATCAACAGCAAAGCTGTGCCACGCAATCTTGTATCATGTCTCTGGATATCCCAATGGCTACAGCACAGGATTACGGCTCAAAAGTCATTGGATCGAATCCCATCAGATTTTTTATTATTTACCTGTTTTCTGTATTTTCTATCTTTATCCATTTAACTATTTCTTTCTAATTAAGGCAAATATTTACATAATTTATTTACAACAATTTCATAACAACAAATAATTTTTACAACAATAAATTTTTTTTTTTTAATAGGGTTAGGTTTAGGGTCACATATCCTATGCACCATAAAACAGGAGTTTCAGGCACGCGATTTGTATTGATCAACCAATGGGATTTGGGAGGTATGCAGAATGCAGAAGGTTGCTTAAATGATGTGTACGCAACTGCATATCTGCATATCTGCGCCTAACAAAGGTGTCACTACGCACGACTTAAATGTTACGTTTATAACCGTAGCAACAGACCTCAGGTGAGCCCAGGCGCTCTGCGGCTCTTGTTTTGTTACTTCACAGCTTGGAGACATTAAATCTAATCTACATCAAACATAAGCAAGCATAATACTGTTATATAGCTTTTAGAATATTGTATTATATGCAGGGGTAGAATTGTACTTTTGAACACGGGAGTCCAACGGACTCCCTGCCCTCAAAAAGAGGGAGTCTGCGGCAAAATGAGGGAGTCCGCAGTCTGAAGTTCAAAACTAAAGATATTAACAACTAGAGGCACTACGGAGTGCATACCTCCGCCAACTAAAGTAACACTATAGTAGAACATTATCTATATTATGACACTACTGATAATATTAATGGACCTACCAATCCAGCCTTACACTTATCTATGAGTGACTTAGCTAGGCAGAGTGCACTGACTGAGTGCATATGTGTTAGGAGCTGTCTCGCTGCGCTGGCTGGCTGGCTGGCTAATATCGATCGCGCGAACACACGAACACTAGACTGGTATCCGGTCCCACCTCTCGGCTTAGTTACTCGATGAGGGAATCGAGATGGGAGCGAGTACCAGTCTAACGCGAACACACGAGAGTGAAAACATAACCTCCTCCAACTCCGTTGGGCGGAGGTCATAACGCATGTGCTTATTTTGAAGATTCATGCGGTTGGACGTCTGCCAAATTTTCTTTGGACATTTGCTGAAAAAATACGGTAATTTTGCCTGGGAATAATAAGGAGGCCGTTCTCTGGAATGCACTAGGTAGTATAGCAGAATTTTCAGGGAGTCACACGGGCTCCTGCATATGTCAAATCAGGGAGTCCGACAGTAAATCGGGGAGTATTTGACTCCGGACTCGCATTAATTTCGCACCCTGATATGATATATTTCAATATCTGGTAGCCGCGATCAATAACATTCAACCGATTATCTTCGATCATCGATCGGTTGGGTGCAACCGATGATCGATGATGAAATTCCAACCGATTCCAAATCCCATCACTAGTAATCACAGGAAATACAATCAGGAAGGTCGTAGAATTTGCCAGGTTATTTGTGTTAATTTTGCTCTCGACGCATTGATGGTTTACCTTTGAATTTGAGCCGAGGGAAGGATAAATTTATACAGGTGAGTAACGTGTCGAGTTCAGCCGAACTAGTAACGCATACCATTTCGTTGAAGGGTTATCACAGTGAAATATCGTATTAGTTTATAGGAGATTATCTTAAAGAGACAGACAAACATTGTTTCAGATATATATACCATATATGTAAAAACAGATGTAACCAGTTAAGATTTGTAGGGTGTACTATATAACTGTTACATACAACTCATATTTAGTGTAATGCATAAACTAATAGTAAAACCTGAAGTACTGTGATCCTGTGTAACAATAGTGTCTGGTAGAAAGAATGTGAATATAGAGGTAGATTATGCAACATGAGCCATCACCGCATGTGGAAACACATTGTGTTACCAAGAATAACCGGGCCATTTTGAACATGAGGTGTTTTACGTATTCGTTATCGGTATTGAACAGTGAAAATCAAATTAAAAATAATAGAAGCATGATTTTATAAAAAATAATACTGATAGCTGAGGTAGTATTATCCTGTAAAAACCATTGCAGTTTTAATCATAATTCATTCATACTTCTGAAATCAACCTTCTTCTGTGTATGGTAAAATAAGTAATGTGAGACGATTTTTTCTTGTGGATGAAGTGGTAACAGTACAGTAGAGTTAATGGCAGTTGGCCCAACTGTTGTTTTATTCTATAGTCTGAATTAGGGTATACTTTATTGGGTATTTATATATTTTAGTGGGTCCCGGGGCATCAGCCTGTGTGCCTCTGTATGTGGGAAATTCAGTAGAATGTACTGGTCTACTAACATTAAAAAAAGCAATGTAAATCCATGGCACTCTGATTATGTGTGACACTCAAAACAGCAATTTCTCTTTGAATCTTTGGCAGGCATATCCATCCATCGGAAGTTTGGCTTTGTCCAGTTTGAGAACGAGACAGACGGACGTGCGGCGTGCACTGGAGAGAATTTAACCTTCTGGCACGGGGTGAAACTTGGTACGTATGGCCATGTTGTCAATTGTGTTTTTATACGCATAGGTCTGCGTCCGTGGACGTGGCACAGTCTCAATGTCGCGGACGTAAGCGAAGTCGGTATACAGTGAAAACTGTATATATCAGTCACTTGAAGAAAATTCCAAAAGTGTCTTTTGTAGATGGCGTCCATTCTATATAGTATAGAGGTAATTTCATTGCATAACTGCCATTCGAAAAAAATATGCCGAAGGTGTTATTTATACTAGGTGCCCATTCTATAAAGGTGGTTTCACTGCATAACTGCCACTCAAGGGAAATGCAAATTGTATCCTTTATAGACAGGTGTCCGCTCTACAGAGGTGTCCTTTATAGACAGGTGTCCGCTCTACAGAGGTGTATGCGAAGATGGGGTTAACTATTTAGTTTTCATCGTATGTGGTTCAGTGTGTTGTGTTTTTTATAGACAGGTGGCCGCTTTACAGAGGTGAATGCGAAGATGGAGTTAACTATTTAGTTTTCATTGCACGCGGTTCGTCGTGTTGCATTTGAATTGTAAATGTCTTACTCCGCAGACGTTCATATGGCGGCTGACGGAATGAGAAGAGGCGGTGGAATGGATCGACGAAGTCCCGGGCTGGCGAGGTAAAAGCGGAGAGCAGAAACAATGGTCGTATTTGATTTACAAACTCGGGAGTGTGCTAGGCGGAAGAGAGGCAGTGCTACCGCTGGCGTTCACCACCTTTGCTATATGCGATGAATAAATAACAGTGGCGATTTGACTATACTATGTGGCGAATAAAATTGGCGAATGATTTAACTCCTCATAAAATTACGATTAAATAATGAAATCGTCGAATTGCAGTGTCGTGTCGTAAAATGTTTATGTACACCTTTTCCCATACCCATCACCTGTTTATGCCTTGCTTAGCACATACAATTAAGTGAACATTCATTAAAGTTTCATTGGGGCCTAAAAATAACTTTGGCGGCTGAAGTCTTGGCGCAACTTTAAAACATCCAGAGGGAGCCCTGTAGGCTGTAGAGGTCATCAAGGTCGCTTGCATCATCGGTGCATCATTGGGGGTCGTCCAATCAGGAGTTCTGCTGGCTGTTATCGGAAAATCCTGATTGGACAGACCGCTCCAGTGGCATTTCTCCTGTTCGGCACACTCCCATGTTGTGATTTGTAAGTAAAGAGAAGCCAATCTTGATGTGGTTTCAGTAGAAAGTGTTTTCACTTTTTACGAACTATAGATCTAGAATATTGTTGATGAGAGTTTGGGCATCTCCCTAATAATAGCTTATAGATGGAACTCTTCAAGATGGAAAGCAGCTAGGGGCTCGTTGTCAGAAACAAAATGAGTTAACATTAGTCTTAACATTAACTTCCACTCGTAAACCTTTGACAGAAACATCACAAAGTTACGAGAATGAAAAATCCTCGAAAATATCCTCTTAACATTACGAGAGCCCGGACCTTCTCGTAACTTTAATATGAAGTTAAAACTAACACATTTACACTACGAATTACAATTATAGTGATATAATATTTTATAATAATGATTAAAATGTGTTTTTCTTGAAAAACATCAAAATCATTAATTATCTACCGATCATAAAACAAAACAAAACATTTACAAATGGCGTATGGCATTTGTTCTCTTGTTTTAAATGTTTGCCACGCTTGCCACGGCTCTCGCGTCTCGTGTTACAGTGTAAGAATTTGTCTTGTGCAGAATAAATTCATGACCGTGTCGTTTTTCATCAACTATTATTTATATGTGTTTAGCCATCATGATATGCATAAATTGCTGTGATGAACAATAAATGTGTATGAATTTGAATTTTGTGATCGATTCTCATCCAATCAGCAGCCTTGTAATGAAGTTCCTGTTATCGTAAGTTTTCTAATAGCTGCGATGTGTTTCTGTCAACGCTCCTCTCGTTACATTAACATTAGTCGTAAGTGTTATCTTAGCATTAACATTAGCATTAACTTTACGATGTTTCTGACAACGGCCCCCAGATTCGTAATGTCTAAAGAAAAGGCACGAGTTATGATGACAAGGTCTGGATTACAATAAGGCAATGGTCAAGGATTGCAATAGAGGGATATTGATCTCCCTAATCTCCATCGTTGCTCTGTGTTTATATTAGTTTAATCATTTTAACGAGAGTGAAATTCGCGTGCTACTGATACAAACAGTGGTTTCCATAACAATTCCGAACAATACGCACGAGTAGTGCACACCATGTTTCCGCCGGACTTGTCACTCGGTGCTGTTGTTGTCTCGCGTTGGACAGGGACATGAGAGGTGGTCCGCCGCCTCCGCGCATGAGCAGGGACAGGTCGCCTCCTTTCCGCCGCCCAGGACCGCCGGAGCAGTTTGACAGAGAGCCACCGAGGTGGGAGCGCGAGGACAACTTCAGAAGAGACGAGCCACGGTGAGTCGACAAAACCTTCCACGCGAATTTCTTACCGCGTTCGGCCGTTTTCTACTCCTGCCGTGGGCTGGGCGTATCTTACAGAGCACGTCCGGAAGCATTGAATGATCGCTTGCTTGTAGTAATCCAGTCCAAGGTTGGGGTGGGGGTCGGTAGATAAGGGAATTCAGTTTGTCGTTATCTGCACTTGTTACTCTTATTCGTATATATATGTCACTAATTATAGAAAGAAAGGTCGAAAGTTAAAAAAATATTAGTTCGCATGATTTTTGACTGATATTATTTCTTATATGTATGTATGTATAGCTGTTTGGTTGTATTACTATTGATAGTTTATTAGCTCATCTGACATAGTCAGATGCAGCTTGTAGAATCGCATGAGCGTGTGTCCGTCCGTCTGTGCGACCGTCAAAGTTGGGCACAAATCTAAACGGCTCGACGTACGGATTCGAAAGTTGGGACGTAGGGGGGTAATCCGAAAACGAGTTGGGATGTCGAAGCTGGGTGTCAAAGGTCAAAGGTCAAGAGGTGTAAAAGAAGGGGGAACATTCCCTCCTTAACTTAAGGTATAGGGAGGAAATGCAGAATTGCGCCACAAATCTAATTGCTGCTATTGGTTACTACTTTACAAATGTTCCTAGAATTGTTCGACATTCAGCGCACATTGACGAACATTCGAAGAACAATGTTCGAGATATCAAACATTTCCGATCTTCAGAAACATTGTTCGGAACAAATGTTCGGCGACTTTCTTCACCGCACATTGCCGAACATTTCATGGAACATTGCTACGATAATGTTTTTGAGCAAAATGTTCGGCAAGGTGCGCCGGGCTTTAGCGTTTGATTATCCAAAAAAAGTTTTTTAAATTAAATTTGCAAACATTGATGAAATGACTCATTTTTTATTTTTGTGCGTTTTTAGCTCATCTGACGTAGTCAGATGCAGCTTGTAGAATCGCATGATTGTTCGTTCGTCCGTCCGTGCGTCAACAGTTGGCCACAAATCTTAACCGCTCGGCGTACGGTCACGATACTAGGGACGTCGGGGGGGGGGATCGTGCAAAGGATTCAGGATAACAAATTTGGGGTCAAGGGTCAAAGGTCAAGATGTGTAAACGGAGGGGGAATATTTCCCCCTTAACTTAAGGTATAGAAGGAAATACGGAATTGCGGCAGAAATCTTAACGGCTCAACCTAGATACTCTTAATATTCGGTGTATAGTGTGATGGGCAGAAAATCAATCACCAGTGCGAAATTGGAGGTCACAGGTCAAAGGGCAGTGGGGGGAAAGGTCAGATATCAGACATTTTCTGAGGACATGGGCTAACGGACAGAGTGGAAAACTTTTTTGCGCTGACCTACCATTTTTATCACTTTATTGAAAGGACCATGAAATGTGCTTTCCACTGACGTGCAAAGAGTAAGTGTCTGATAATCTTTTGACCTTCAAGAGGAGGGTTAAACATGGATTCCTGAACTGCTTCAATGATGTCACAGTGTTCTCATATAATTTATTCATGGCACATCAGGACCGTATCCAGAGGTTGGGCAGAGGGGGGTTACAAAATGGCGATGCGAAGCTTCGCCCCGAGCTTCTTTTTTTTTAACATGCTTAGATGCTATTTCCTGGCATCTAGTTCACTTCAATTGTTTGTTGAATTCATACAAAAGACAGTGTATATCACCATAACAATATTAACATCAATCAAATAAAATGAGATTTGTAACAAACTTGTCTCTGGTGTTGGGAATTATGACTAATTATCTCCGTGGTGTGATCCATCCAATCTAGATACTAGGATGATGACCTGTGACCAGCGAAAAAAATACACGGGAGCGGCGAGCGATTTCGCTCCCGTCAGCTTTCAAAGCGCTCTGGTAACAACAATTACGAGAGCGAAAATTTTGGAAGCTACGAGAAAAAATCGCTCCCGTGCCGCCAGCAGCGTTACGACCCGTTCCTCAACGTAGACAGCTAGGGTATCCAAAACATCTAGAGCTGCATGAACTCCCTCAACGCATGATTCGCCACACGAACAAAATGTCCCATTGAGTGCGAAATCGTTGTAGTGTCTAGAACTATCAGGTAGGTAGCAACTACTACTGTACTAGCAACGAGTCACATCTATGTTTTGTGCGGTGAGATTCGTGAAATGCATACTGACGTGCATAACTTCACAGTGCGTAGTAGGTTACTGTGCGATTATGATTTTTCGTGGATGTACAATTGCATGGTTGATGTGACAATGAGTAGAAACATTCTTGAATTGAAATTCATCAGTGTTTACTGCTACACTTGCATTTTTGTATTTTTGGTAGTATTTAATTTGATTTCTTAACACAAATAACTTAATAGTGTATGTATGTTCATTTATTATTTTTGTGAAACATTCTCCAATTCCTAGTATTGTACCGATTTTTGTGTGCAGAGAGTATGGAGAGTATATCGACAAGAGACTGAGGGAACTTGGACTCTCGACGGGCATTCTCTTTCTTGCCGAGGAGGCATCTCTCCAACAGGTAAGAAGAATTGTTCAAGCTAAATTGGTTACTAGTTTACCAATCTCATGCGATTGTCGTCTGCAGGTATTTAGTGTCAAGCTATGTTACATATATGGAGGAGGCCTGTTTCTCAAAGCTAGGTTTTACTATGTTCATGCCCGAGGGGAATTGGTGCTGTCACAGTATTGCACTTTTTTATTGAAAACAATGACCCCTTTAGAGGTATTTTGAGTGAGTTTATTTTGTACAGTTTTATGTCACGAGAAATAGTCACGAGTAGTGTGGTATGCTCACTTCACAAGGCATGGTTCGCACAGTCCTTGAAAAGTCCTTGAATTTGAGGGGAGTCCTTGAAAAGTCCTTGAATTTGAGGGGAGTCCTTGAAAAGTACTTGAATTTAGTAAATGTTGATTTTGTGCTTGAAAAGTCCTTGAATTTCGTGAAAATGTCCTTTAATTTCATAAAAATGTCTTTGAATTTTTAGAAAGAATCATTGCATGTAATAAAAATTGCGTTAAATGAGCTTAAAAAGCTATAGACACGATAGACAGTTAAATGATGATCACAAATTACAGTAGGTCAGTCAGTCATCAGTCAGTAAATCAAGGTATGTTGTAGAAGTGACAGTGTTTAGAAGGGTTTATTAATGTGATACAGGTAAGTTTTAGAGGTGACATGCAGTGATTAAGAATGGGGTTATTAAATTAATCCAGGTATGTTTTGTTCTGTGTATGAATTCCGATAAAATGTCTAATAAAATGTCCTTGAATTTTCGATAAAATGTCCTTGAAAAGTCCTTGAAAAAAATTACAGTTCTCCTGTATGAACCATGCAAGGGGTGGCTTTGTGTGAGTTGGCAAGGCTTCAGTGTCTTGTTGTTAGTCACAAATGCAAAAGTTATGTTCAGTGCTGGACCCGCTCTCTGTGTTTCCTTGTGTCTAGGCTTTGGACGATATCACTAGGAGACACTGCCTGTATGCCGTCGTCACGAATGTTCAGAATGAGGCGCATCGTTCCATGACGCTAAACATACTGCATGGAACGCCACAAGGTAAGTGTCCCTGCAGTGCTCTTAACTTATCAGGAAACGGTCGTGTCTCTCATGCGTTGTAATATGTTTGCTATAACAAGGACTGTGTATGCTCCCAACTTTGCAAGTACGTAACCGATAATTTTCGTGAGCAAAATGTCTTTTTTTATTAGAACAAGGATTCTTATTGCATACTGGTGAGAGGTGAGTCGTTACAGTCTTGTATCTAGAAAAAAATGATAGTTTATGTACGTGTATTGACTTTGTCATCTGAGATGCAAAGGTCGATCAGGGAATTGTGCATTACCCAATGCTTGGAAATTTTGCAAACAAACTCTCACACCACCATTATCCTCTAATTTGCTCTGAATAGGATTTACAAGTAAAATGTGGCATGCCCAGCTACAATAGTGTGAACGTTATGCGACGTGCTCTCCAAAAGCTGCTACTCCAAAGTAAATTTGTTGACAAGTAACTTGACACCTTTACTGACAAGTAATTGGTCTGTTCTGCACTATGGTTGCTCAGATGGCTATCATATGCCCAGCTAGCTCAGCTAGCATATCCCGAGCCATCGAAGAAAAACGCAGAGTTTGTGATAACCATTGCCCCATGCAGCCTTTAGTGAAGAATATAATGGCCATTTGGGTCACCATACTGCACACTCAATAAAAATGAAATATAATGTGGGAATGAAGATAAATGAGGGTGAAGTACAGAATGAAGTGGCACCTTCCCACACACTCGCAGTCTGTTGCAAATCAAGTTTGTACATCAGTTCGAAAAAATTGTCTAGCAGACCATCGTCTAAGATTTTTTAATTTGTTGACGCACATGTTCTTTTTGAACTGATTACTGTGGATGCTTGAAAACTGAGTGAACATCTTCAGAAATGCATTGACTACAGTCTTGCAAAAATCGCGAAACTCAATCACATGATTTTGTCGTATTTTTTCTGTAAGCACACTTTTCTGAAGGTATGCAGTTGCGGATAGACTGTCTGGAGTATGACTAGTAGTGACAAGTTTGATTCTCTACACAAATCTCTACAAAAAGCATGTTTTTGTGTGTTGCTTCTATACATGCTGTTGTATTTTAGCCTTCACAACAGGCCATATGTGTGAGCAGAATCATTGGGTAAAAGTCTTGAAATCGAGTAAACTTTATTACTGGTAAACATGCACGTAGCATTAGAACACGGCATATCGGGCAAAAATATCCCATATGAACCGACGGGAAATATGGAGTGTGGCGGCTCATGTAGTCACTAATCGATTAATAACAAATGTTAGTGACATCCTTTAAAAAATGAACAGAAAATGAGAAAATCACTTAAAAAATCATGCTAAAATTAACTGAACTACTTTAAAGCTGCACAATGTGCATCCAAACGCTAATTTCTCCAGTACTAACCTAGCAAATACTTCGTGTCATGCATAATCACACTACCTTATGCCAAAATAAACTAGTTCCTCCCATTTCACTGCGCGTTGTATTATAAAAGGTATTTGAAAATACCTCCAATATTGTTCAAATTCTCCGATGTTGTTGACAATTTCCCCAAGCAACCGTGCAGTGGTGCTGCGGTACAGCGGTACAGGTGTAGCAAAGCATAGCAAAGATAAAAACATGTGACGTCACCTAACCACTTCGAGGATAAATTGTTTGGCAAACAAGTCGGCGTTTGCGCCAGAATGCCAGTTTTCTCACCTCTTTCTTGTGGGTTTTAAGCAAACGTGCAGTGAAATGGGAGCAACTAGAGAGTATTTTGTCATAAGGTAGTGTGATTATGCATGCCACGAAGTATTTGCTAGTCTAGTACTGGAAAAATTTTGCGGCATAGTTTGGATGCGCATTGTGCGGCTTTAATGCAAATGTGGTATACAACCACTAAACATGACACGGTACACACCAAATTCAGTGGCAATGTGCGCGCTTGTCACTCTAAAAACACCCAGCGATCGCTACAGTCTCGCGTGCGCGCGCTGCAAGAAATGTGTGCTCAGCGCACCACAACTACAATTTTCAGGCTTTTTTCCCGACTATTTTATTGCGACTTCGACAGATGGCTTTTGCAAATATGTTAACCCTGATTCGATGAAATGATGGCATTTGTGACGTAGGCCTGGTCGCTAAACAAAGGCTGAAGCGCGAATGTTTGTACAACCCATTGTACCGGCTGGAATAAGAATACTTTTCACTTGCTGGTTGCATTTGTCAAGATGCATATGGCAACAGGCTGCGGTACTGAGTTGATACCGATTAATCAGTATGCAAATATGAAATGGCAGTTTTGTCGACGCGTTAACCCACACACGATCAACATAATCTCTTTGTAAAGGCTACTTGTGACGTTCTAGTAGTCACACAATGCAAACCATACGTGAAGGTTGTGGGGTCTCGTAATGACTGGTTGTTGTTGTTGACATTGACCATTTGTTGGCAATTTTGTCAAGTGTCACCTAACTAGGGGTGGCTTTATTTGTTGAGAACCCTTCCAGCTCTCACACGTACGCTTACACAGCGAATACCCCCTTCCCACAGAGTGACCAAGGGCAGGTAAATTCAAACAAAACTAAATAATTAGATTTTTATGCAAAAAAAAACATTCAAGCTAGTTACGTTGGTTGCTTTTAACGGTTCTCTCTGCGTCGAGATATCGTCGTCGTTCCGACCGAGCGGGTTTTCGCTTCGCGCGCACCCTGTGTCGTTCTGAGCTATTTTTTGCCTTGTTTTTCTAACGCAGAGCACCGCAACATGCCGCTGGAGGACGCGTTATCCCTCGTCGCACGTAACTTTGCCGAGTTCGGGAAAGAGCGGCGGGAGCGGCAGCAGCCGGCGGCGGCGGTGGCCGCGCGGCCCGCCGTGCCGCCCGTCGTGCCGCCCGTCGACAATAGTATTAACCACCTGCTGGGAATGCTCAGCGACAGTAAATACCTGTCGGTGGAGCAGCTTGGCCGGGTAATTGCGTATCTCGAAGACCGTCGTCTGCGGCAGGCGGAAATCGAGGGTCACCCTCTCGCTGCCAGCAACCACGCAGGTGAGCGGTTGTGACGGTTGTTCTCGTTGAGCGAGAGTGGTTAGCCAGCACGTTATTTCCGCTTGCTGTCACTTCCGCTAGTGTTTTACATTTGTGTTTACTAAGATCTCATTGGTTTTTATCGGTGAAATCGTATGTTCCGTCCATTATTTCAGATGTGCCGATACGGGGCACCGTATTTATGTGTTTCCCCGTCGACCTTTCTTAAATTAGTTGCACAGATTTATGTATTTTTTGTGTTATATGTATGAGTTATGCGAGCTTTTATATATTCAGCATCGGTGTCTGGTCACGGAAGCAGTGACGCTTCAACGATCTCTATGTTTCAGGCTCAGCAAGGAGTTTACCAGGAGCAGCATCAGCAGCAGCAGCTCCAGCGGCAGTAGTCGAGAACCCAAACGATCTGTTGAAACAACAGCAGGAACTGCAGGCGAAAATACTATCCGTGTTGAACAAGCCCGCAGCGAATCCGCCGATGTCGGGGGGCAACAAGGCTGCGCAGCCGCCGGCGCCATCTTATGGGAACTACGGAGGAGCACAGCCGCAGACGCCGACGTCGGTGGCCGGGATCAATCTGGACAACCCGAACATACAGAAGGCGATCGACAATCTGATCAACAGCGGGCCGAGGCTGCTGCAGAACCTGACGTCGGTGTCGTCACAGTCAGCAAGCACGCTGTCCGAGCAAGACGCGCCGACTTCGACGCAGCAGCCGGCTGTGCCGAACCCGGCGCCCTCTATCCACTCCGCGGTGGCTCCGCAGCAGCAGCAGCAGTGGCGCCCCTTGGTGCAGTGGCCGAAACAGCAGGCGCAGGTGGCCAGCCGACCCCCGCACGTACTGCAGCAGCAGCAGCAGCAGCACCACCAGCAGCAGCAGCATCAGCAGCAGCAGCATCAGCAGCAGCGCCACCACCAGCAGCAGCAGCAGATACAACAGCAGCAGATGCAGCAGCAACAGATGCAGCAGCAGCAGCAGCACAACGATGAGTTACAGCAGGGTGGCTTGGGTTTGCTAGGCGATGCACCCAATGCTTACATGTACTAGCGTAAAGCTGGCATCACGGCATCGGGAACGCCGGCTCTTTCACGCGGGCGAGTCAACCTTTCACCGTTGACTCCTACCTTTACTAACCCATCTTTTTTGGCGGGTTGCCCATTGTGGATACAAAATAAAAAAAACCATGTACTCAATAAAGTTGTCGCGTTCAGTTATCTATTTTGTATTAGTCGTACTGTTCATGTTGAATGCTTATTGTAAGGCTTTACCGTGTATTAAATGATGGCTGCTAGACGTGGCACGCATCAATCATTCCATGAGAGTAGGATGTTGCACTATCGCGGTATATACAGCAGTCCAATTTTCGTCACTGTGAGGAAGAAGACAGATAGAAACGTTCTGTCACGACATGGAAATGATGTTGAAGATGAAGTAGTAATAACAGTAGTTAGTTTCCAGTTCAACAGCTAGTGGAAGGGCACAACACGGCTGGCTTATATTTTATTACGTCTAGTTGTAGGGCGATACACTATTTGATGGCAGCAAGTGAGCTGTGGACTAAATTTGCTTACATGTGCAAATTACTAATGAATTGTACTGTAAGGGATTCGAGTTTAATTTGCACTGTGTCGCGCTCATTTTTTTTAGCCTTGGGCTATTTACAGTTGGACAGTTGGCAGGTGGCAGGATGTTGTATTGTCATGTATGTCAATTTTGTTCCATCTCAATACTTTACTGAATGCTAATAAAAGTCAGTCTTTGTGACTGTTAACTGTCACGTGTGATGTTTTGATATTTTATTCTACGAATTGTTATTCATATCGCTGAGTAATAAGATTATTACTATTATTATTATCACGAGTATTAAGAGTATGAACCAGAGTGACCACAAATTAAGTTTGCCGTGCATTCGTTTGTTTACCCATACGTCGATGTCATCAAGTTTCAACCATGGCTACTCTGAATGAGTGTGGTGTTGGCACATGACAACAAACAAAAGTGTGGCTCAACGAAGAAAAAACGCATGCTTCTCCAGAACTACAAAGGAGTAATACATTCCAGCAGGTGTGGGGGAATTGTGGATCATTACACACTTTTCACATTTTCAGCTTCAATCACAAGTATCTAAGTCTTTCCACGGCTCCTCAGCTAAGCATGCACCTGTGTTCGTGTGCGTGCGTGCTTGTGTGACTATTGTGTGTGTGTGTGTGGGGGGGGGGGGTTACCAATCTCTATGTAATGCTGCGATTGAAATAAATCTGAATAGGTTCATCTGATAGAATTAAGCCGAATGGATGTGTTGGAAGTGATTTTGAAACATCTTATATATACAATATAGTACACATTAGTTGACAATAAACAATAGTTTTACTAAAAGTAAACGACATTGTATTAATACTGTTGTTACACGCGCATAATTCCTATTCTTGATTTGCATAAAACAGCAGCCAACTTATGGGATATTTTAGCAATGACATAGGAAGATCAGCATGTTTACATGTGCGTTTAGGTCGATCACTGATAGCATATATTTAAGGTAATACAATTGACATGACACAAAAAATGCGAAGGGCACCTCATACCAATGATATCCCAGTTTTCATTAAAAAAAACTATAATTCTTTAGCCATAATATATTCGTAAATATTCA